ATCAAAAAATAGTCGCCAAGAATCTGCTTCGTTCTTGGCATTTTTTGCAGTTTGGCCAAGAACGCCTGGTAATTTTACTAATATATTATGCGGAGGTGTTTGGGTAACTTTCAATGGGGTTTTTCTCCATTTGGTTCCATCCCGACCTATAACAATGAGAATGAATGTATGAAATTCCGCCCAAAGTTTTTACCATGGTTTTTGTATATGTGTTCTCTTTATGCAGACAGCACACTACGTCATATGACGTCATTTTGACGTCATATGACGTCATAGCACGTCGTTTTGACGACATATGACGTTAATTTTAATATTCCTTTCATATAATTTTGTGTGAACTTACCACCATAAAAGTCTTCACTTTCCTCTTCATTTTCGGCTTCCTCTATATCTTCTGCCTCATTTTCATAATCCATGTCCGAGTCAACTGGCCTGGCCTCCAAGTTATCTTCCGTATCCGATTCATCCGACTCTTCAAAGTCTTCTTCAAGTAAAGCATTTTCGTCGTCGTCAAAAGCAATACGATTGAGGTCATCAACATCTTGGGGGTTATTTAGGTCAAAAACTTTTTTATTCATTTTTTCCTAAAATTTTATAATAAATACAAATAAAACTGTAATTTTTTCATTTATTAGAATATTAAAAATTAAAATAGGGCAAATACTTACTGGTACAGATTAAATTTATACACACAATATTCACAGGAAACAAATAACGTTGAAAGAAGCAAGAAACAGTACACACTAGCAACATCAGAAATTTACTAACCCTCGCGCTGGATTTGCTTTATTTTAGATGTTATTCATACCGTGTGAATACCCGATTGACACCGTGTGAATTCCCGAAAAATTACAAAGATTACCAGTACGGCATTGACGGGCGCGCTAGGTCCAGCGGACTTACACATGTACCCGCTTCCTTTTAGACCTGTATTCCCGGGGGATTTCGATAATTATCGGAGTGCGGCATTGGCAAACAATTGTAAATATATCAATTTAGGATGTCATAAAGACCCAGCACGATATTGTGACGACGTGGTCTCCACCATGTGACGACGAGGTCTCCACCATGTGACGAAGTGGGACTCCACCATCGATGATTGGGACTGTTGGGTGACGTATGGTTAAAAGGCCAAACTTACATTATAACGGCTTTATTTCTGAATGAATTTACATTACAAGCAATATGGGTTTATATACAAAACTAGAACATTACGTCATATACACAAGAAATACATGTTTGCTGATTATTGCAAGATTGCATTTCTCACAATAAATTTCCACGTAAATCTATTTGAGAATCAAATAATCTGCAATAATCTGAAACTTTCCTGTTGCTTTTATGTGGGAAAATAATTATTATATTAAAATAAAGTAAAATTAATAAATCAATAAATAATATTTTCTTATTTCGTGACATCTCCCTCGCCTAGAAAGCACGCCACTGGGCTTTGTCGTCCATGTTCTAGATTTGCAATAAACTGCCGACGTAGTCCTAGACACTTAGTTTTATCTTCAAGTCCGCCATGATGAATTCTTGATGTCCGTGTTTAATTATTGGAAATATTGTTGGTTTTTGTGTGGTGTTGAAGTGGTGAAGTGTCTAGTACTATTACATTTTGTCGGACTCCACATAAAAATAAAAAGGAACAAAAATTAGTAAGTATTCTTAAACTAAAATAATAATAACTAACTATGTACAATTTACAGTTGCCTATCGCCTATGCCAAAAAATATTAAATATATAAAAATTATTTAAAATTAAGCATTACTATACAAAAAAAAATTCTTTGTATAACTTTAGTGAAGACCTACGTCCCTTTATACCATATAACGTTAAATTTTTATTTTATTATTTTAAATGTTTGAATTAAACTTGCAATTTGTTTTTCAAGCTAGTTTTTATCTTAAATATGCGCTTGTAATTTGATATTAACACTACTGACCTAGCCAACAATTTTATTCCTGCGATGGACATGGAACGCATGAGCGACTCGTTGCGCTGGGCTCCCTTTTGTCATCATTGGAAATTGCTAACCCTTACTCCTGGTCATTCCTGGGGTAAGCTCGGACGAATGTCAGATGGAATTGATCTGGAAGGTTGATGTCATCTTCACAACAAACGTGGTACAGGATACCTTCTTGTGAGGAACCATTTCCAGGGTTTCCAGCATTTTTTGGTATTTTATTTTTAATTATACTTTTTCCATTTTTCTTATTTCTTCTTTTGCAGATCTGCTCGAGGTAGGGTGGCAACTAGTACTACTGGGTATCTCTTGATTAAGAGGAATACCACGCATGCTGAAATAATGTCATTCCAAAGAATAAGCATGTAGACTTTATGGATGAAATGGAAATCAGAGTACGTAACTTATTTACCATTTTTTTCTTTAGGATTAAGTAAGAATTACTTCAAGTTTGAACATCTCGCCCGCAAGATGAGACAAATTTTTAGGTTTTCTTCTATTTCCTCAGTTTCGTGGTTGGTAATTTTCCATGTTTTTCTTGGAATGCCGCTTTTCTTCATAGTAGCATGACTCAGCAGCACAAGCTTTTTCCGTACCCCAAAAAATATTTCTTTTCTTCTTTTTATTTTCAATATTCTTTATTCTTCATTTACATACATTTTCTTTTTTCCATTTTAGCTTTATTAAAGTCGACTTCTTTTTTTCATTCTTCTATACGTTATGGGTATCGTAGCTTCATAGAACAGGGCTTCTGGTAAGGGCTTCCAAAAGGATCCTGCTGATATTTCAATGGCAGCTTCTTCGGGTTGCCAGGATAAAATAGGTTTAAAGTTAACTTAAAAATTAGTTTGCAAGTATGTACAAATTGGCATCAGGGATAGGGGGGACAGGGGTTGAAAAGGAAGGGGTGTAGTATTCCTCTTTCTTCTTTTTTTATACTTGGGTTTATGGGTAATACTGCTGGATTCGTTGTTCTGGTTTATTGACTCTTTGTTGAGGTGTTTAAGTTTCGTGTTGCGACAAGAGGGTCAAGTTACTTATTTGTAATGAGATAATTCTTTCCTTTACTTTACTTAGTTTAAAAACAATTTTCTTTAATTCTCCCATATCCATCGTCGTTGGGGCAATAAGTTAATAGGACTCGTAGTACAAGGGGTGTAGGCCATTTTCGAAGTGGTCCCGGAAGGTGTCAAAAGCCATTTGAGGGTTAACTTCTTCGGCAAGGTGTTGTAGTTCGAAAAAATAGCTTTTGATGTTTTCGTTTTCGCCTTGTTTTTTCGAATTAAATTTTATTTTTGCTGCTCTCACAAAATTTTCTCTTCCAAATTCTTCTAAAAAGTCTTTTTTAAATTTTCCCAATTTTTCTCTCTATTTTCTTGTTTGCTGACGTATTTTGTATACCATGTAATGGCCGCTCCTTCCATAAATGATCCTAGATAATTTATTTTATATGTGTCGCTCCATCCGTTAATTTGGGAACATCTTTCGTAGTTTTTCATAAAGGTCATGGCGTTGATCATCGTCGGGTTGAATGTTGTGGGGGCAATAAACTTCGGGACTGCAGGTGTTCTTCCGGTCTGGGATGCTTCTAAAATTGTTGTGTTCGACATCTCGATGATTTGTAGTTCGGTTTGGGTGATGGGGAAATTTTCTTCAGGATTATCTTGTATCTCAGATGTTCGGGAAAAAGGTAAGGATATATCTTCAGAAGGACTTAAAATTGAAAGATTTTGTAAAGGACTTAAAAGGCTTTGGATACGGGCTTCTACGTTGTCGTCTTTTTCTTTTTCGGATTGATTTTCGTCGGGATCTGCCTCTTCTTCGCTGTTTTCTTCTTCTGCGTTGAAAGTTTGGTTATTAGAGTCTTCTGAGTCTTCTATATTAAATGTTGAGTTTTGGATTTCTTCTTCTGATTTTTCTTTTCTGTTTTCAGTCTGTTTTCCGGGTATAATAGGTTCTTTCGGTGGTCGTAGAAAATATCTTGTTTGTTTCGGTTTGGTGCCAGTCGGTGATCGTGGTAACGTTGAGGAGGGTTCGAAGATGGATTTTTCCGTGCTGCGATGTGATGGGTTGAATGTCAATTTTCCCAAAAGCTTCTTGCGTGACATTAAATTTAACTAACACCGACCTTGTTTTTCTTAGAGTTCCCAAATAGATTCAGCGAGCATTCGGTCAATCCTGGGTACCGATGCTTTCTCTATTCAGGAAGTCTTCTATGAACAGATACAGCGAGTATTCGGTCAATCCTGGGTACCGATACTTTCTCTATTTATAGTGATGGTACAAGATCGTTGGCGCCTCCACCATGTGACGATAAGGGGCGCCCACCATGTGACGACGAGGTCACCACCCAGGCCCGGATTGGGATAATTTTTCGGCCCGGGCTTTGATTATAAACCGGCCCTTAAACCACATCAATTTTTTTGTAACAATAAAAAAATTTGAAAGAAATGAATGTTTTTTATTAAGTTTTAAAGAATTAATAATTTTTTTAAAGATTCGCTTTTGGTGGCAATATTATCTATAATCACATCAGTATTTATATCTACAAGAATTTCTTTTTCAACGGACATCAGCAGTAAGGCATCCAAGTGTTCTTGTGTAAGACAACTCCTTAGTCTATTCTGTACAAATTTTAACTTTGAAAAAGTTCTTTCACAGGAAACCTGGGTACATGACAAAGTTAAAACGTATTTATAAGCGTTATATAAATTATTGTAAGACATTGTATGTAATTTATATTGGAGCAAAACTTGAAAACAACACACAACGCAATTTTTGCATGTTTCACAAATAGCTACAGCGAGATGTTGGGATTCATCTTCCTTCAATATAGATTTGCTCTTTTTATTTACCAAGATCTCTTTCATCTTGTTCCATTTTTTCGCAAAATCTTTCAGCTCACTATAAATTTCTGCTGACGTCACAATATTATTGCCACTGTGTTTTGTTATTTGATCCGCAATATTTTGAAATGAATCAAGTGGCAAATCATCAATTTTTCCAAAATAGGACGGATCTAGCCAAGCAAGGTTCAAAAATAATGTTTGGTGGCCTGTGAATCTGTTTTCCAAACTTTGCAAAGCATTGTCATAAATAACATTGTAAATGTTTCAAATCTCTTTTCTGGATCAGCGATACATTCATCATTACTTTTTTCCCCAGGCATCATTTTTCTTTTTTTAATTCGTTTTGCAGCAGAATTAGACGAAAAATATGGTTCTCTTTCCACTTCAACGAGAGGGTCATTATTATCATCATCAACATCTGTCGCGGTTTCTTCGGATTCATCATCCATTCTTCGGCTTGCCCAAAGGACAAATTTTTTGGCAGCTACCAAAACTGCTTCAAAACTCCTTGAGTCTGTTTTGAGGGTGGTTATGGTTTTTTCAACCATTTTAAATGCCATAATAGGATTCATTCCGTTTGTTTGAAGGTATTTGGATAATGGAGTTGTCGATTCAAAAATTTTTAAAAAGATTTGAGCACTTAGTATTACTTCAAATTTTTTCAGTGAGTCAGCAATGGACTTTGCCTTGAAACGCGCTTCGTTTGCGAAATTGGATGAACTGGCAATTTCCTCTAGGGTTAATATAATCTCTACAAAAGCTGCATTTTTTGGATTATTGTAATGTCCAAACATTTTTGTTAGAGCTTTATCTTTTGCCCACCAACGAGTTTCTCCAATTGAAGACAACATTTTCTTTTTTTTATCAGTCACGGTGTCCCAAACTGCCATCCTTTTATAAGACTCACGAATAAATCCTGCACATTGGTTAATAATAGCAAATAACGAAATTGCTTCAACGGAAATGCTGGTCGTGTCAGCCATCACCAAATTAAGTACATGTGCGTAACACCAAACATGCACTTGGCCATTAAAATTTTTCTCCATATATGCCGAAAAACCCTTATACTGGCCTTGCATATTTGAGGCACCATCGGTAGCAGAACCAATACAATTTTTCATATCAATGCCATTTTTAACAAGTAATTCCGTTACAATTTGGTATAAGTTGGCACCTGTACTAGAGGTACAATTTATGATTCCAAACAATCTCTCTTTTACATCTTCCGAAACATATCTTACAATAACACTCAGCTGATCATGAACATTGATATCTTGAGTTGAATCAATTTGGATATAGAACATTCCATCCTTATTGATTTCTTCAGAAACCTTCTTTTTTATTAACGAAGATACTGACTCTATGATATAATTGACGGTAGTTTTCGATAAAAATGTATTGATCGATCCAGAACGGCCAGGTCGATTTTTGTCAGTTTTCTTAAGGTGTGCTTTACGGCTTAGTTCTATCGATTTATCGATGTGGACTTTGAGTATAGGATCGAATTTAGAAATTAACAAAAGAACCTCCAAAAAATTACCGTGGTCAGCACAGGTATCATCCAAAGTATAGGCAGCTTCAGCCTCCTTTGCACCTCTGAAGCTTTGACCTCGTTTTCCTAAAGTTTTAACCGTTTCAACAATCCGTTTTAAGATGTCCCTCCGTTCATTAATTTCTTGTGATTTTTTAGAGGTATCGGTGCACAAGCTATATATATCTTTCATTTTACTTTGCAATAAAAAGGATTCTGCTGATGCTTGATGAGCAATCGATTTTTCGTGCTTTCTTATTCGGTCATATATTCTGTGAGGATCAATTTTACAGCCTTTCGTGAATGAATTCGGTTCTTTGTTAAAGGCTAAGCAGAATGAGCAGAAAAAATTATTACTCTGTTCGCAAAATGAGATCCACTGTCTTCTGATTTTTTTGGTGTCAAGGTGTTCTCGAAAATAGGCCAAACTTGGGTTGAATTTAACTTTATCAGTAGGTTGTATTGGATGAATTTTGAAAAAAGAATAATAGTCATTTTTAGATGGCCTTTTAAAATTCTCAACGATACCACATTCTCGATTTTCATTTTCAGTAATTTCCAAAGTATTTTTATTTTCAATCGATGCTAGCGACTGCTCGACTGTCTAGAAGTTTGTTATTAAAAGAAGATAAAAATACTTAAATAAAGCAAAAAAGAAATGTTACCAGAAAAAATTGCGAGGCATCATCAGTGTCCGATATATTTATATCGCATAGAGTGCCGTGGTCACATGCTTCAAATTCTGTATTTTTTTCACATTCTACAAAAGTAGAAGTAGAGGTAAAGGGGTATGCTGGGTCTTTAGCGTTATCATCAACTTTATCCGTATTATGGTCTGTTTTCTATAAAAAATAATTTCATATGTCAAACAAAATACGTACACGTACACGTAAACCACTGACTAATATTTTGCACAACCAGAAGTTTATTACCTTTTTTTGTTATTTTTTTTTACAACGGTACATTTTGAATAAGTGGTATTTTTTTGCGTTGTAGATTAAGTGTTTAATAATGTTAAGATAATAATTACATCAATTCAATATGGAACGAATATAATACATAAAGATTATAATAATAAAAAATTAACAATAAAAAGTCACTTTTACCTTAATAGCTTTGAACAAATCTCCGATGTTATGACACTGTGCCGCTTCATTTTCCCTTTTCTTCCTTTTTCTTTCTCGTTCTTTTTCAGCTCCATCTTTTACACGTTTATTCATTTTTTTTTTAATTTTCCTTATAACGCAGCCAGAGTAATACACCGATACGATACAAGTTTTACCATACAACAATAAAAAAATAAAAAACCATGTCGATATTATAAATAACTTTACTTAAAAGTATTGTCTCTGCTTAAAATATCAACTTTTAATGATACGTAACTTTGTCTGTAGGGGGCCACTTGGTTTTTATTACCAGTTGTACTAAATTGTAGTGAATATTTAAAAAAGTATATTTTATAAATAGTTGTACCTTTAGTACACATCAAGATTTGCACATTCAATATTTAAGCAAAATAAAACACAACAATTGTAGGTTTTACACACGCGCGTTTGTAGCCAGAGGGCTGTAGCGCCATCTTTTACCGAAATTACATACTTTAAAAAGTCATCTCAAAAACAGTAAACTGTTTACTGTGCCTTTATTTGGAAATAAATCATAAAATAAATTCACAGAAACTTTAATGATCTATGGTAAAAGTTATCAAAACCTAAGGATAATTCATAGATGAGAAAACTTCTTCTGGAGAAGTTTTTCCCTTTTAATTTTATAAAGCATTCATATTATATTATATTACGGCCTTGGCGGCCCATCCGGGCAGCGGCCCTGGGGGCTTTGCCCCCTAGCCCCCCGGCCCAATCCGGGCCTGTCACCACCATGTGACGAAGCGGTCTCCACCATGGTGACGAAGCGGGACTCCACCATCGATGATTGGGACTATTGGGTGACGTATGGTTAAAAGGCCAAACTTACATTATAACGGCTTTATTTCTGAATGAATTTACATTACAAGCAATATGGGTTTATATACAAAACTAGAACACTACGTCATATACACCAGAAATACATGTTTGCTGATTATTGCAAGATTGCATTTCTCACAATAAATTTCCACGTAAATCTATTTGAGAATCAAATAGTCTGCAATAATCTGAAACTTTCCTAATGCTTTTATGTGGGAAAATAATTATTATATTAAAATAATAAGTAAAATTAATAAATCAATAAATAATATTTTCTTATTTCGTGATTGTGAGTGAATATTGATAAATTATACTTAAATATATTTTCTACATTTAGCCAGCCCAATTCCCTTATCTTTGAGGAAACATTATCATATTTTCTTAACCTGTATACAAATCTACAGCAGCTATTTAAAATTTTTTGCAAACGTAATTTTGTTAGCTTGTCGAGACATATAAACTAATAAACTATATTACAATAATTTAAAATAAATATTACTAAACTCTCACAAAGCTTTTTTCTTACTTTAAAATTAAGAAGATTTATGTTTGTATATAATATTTTTAAAGATACATAGGATTTTTTACGACCGAACTTACATGATCTTTAAAACGCAAATTATCATCCATAATAATGCCCAAGTTTTTTACTTTATTTTGTATATTTAAACTTGTGTCATTTATTTTTAATATTAATTCCCTTCATCCAAAGATCTTAAAATATTATCAGTCACGTTTGCTAATATGGTAGTAGTGAATGGCCTTTGCGGAAACCAGATTGTGATGAAGAAAGCTTGTACAATTTTCTCTAAAACCTTTGATAAAACAGGAAGTAATGATATTGGTCGTAGATCAGAAAAATGTTAGGGTTTTTGAATTTTTGGAAGGGGCTTTACCAGGGAAGTTTTCCAATTTGAAGGAAAATAACCTATTTCCAGACAACAATTAATTATGTGTGTTATATGTTTAGAAATACTAGGTAAACAAAACTGATCATTCTAGCATTTAGACCGTCACTCCCATATGCATTAGATTTTAGTTTTTGAATTATTTTTGTGACTTCTTCAACTGTTGTTAAGTGAAAAGTAAAAGAAATATTATTATTAAACGAACGCGTAGAATACCATTCTGAGGTATGATGGCAATTATTTAAAGGGCTAAAAACGGATGAGAAGTAGTTGTTAATATCATCTGCTTTTTGTAATTCGACAGGTATGTGATTATTTTCGGTTTTTCTTATTCCAAGGGATTTTAAACGTTTCCATAGAGCATTTGAATTATCCTGAGAATATTTTAAATATGAAATTTTTCCTTTATTTATAGAATTTAAAGTTAGGTTTCTTAATTGTTTCTAATATTGCCAATCGTTGGGGTTTTTTGATTTTTTGTATTTTTGTAACGCTTTGTCTCGGATTCTCATCAAATGTCTAATGTTCTCTGTTAGCCATGGAGCGTAAGGCTTAGTTATTTTTGATGTTATATATGGAGCATGCTTATTAAATAAAAACAACAAATTTTCTCTTAGGAAATCAATTTTTTGATTTATATTATTTATATGAAATAAATCATCCCTGTACTGTCTAAAACAAAATTTTCATATGAGATTCTTTTAAAATCTCTAAATGTAATAAGTTTTGGTGCCAAACGCAGCACATTGAAATTATATTCAGAGAAGACTGTCTGATGGTCAGATATAAGATCTGCAGTTAAAGTACCTGAATATTCAATAAGATTCGGTTTATTAACATAAATTACATCAATAATTGTTTCTGAAGTTAAAGTTATGCGAGTTGGATCTTTAATTATTTGTGTAAAATCGTAGGAACTTAGACAATCAACCAGTACATTCTCAAAACTATGGTCAGTATTTACATCACCTAGCACCACAACATTATCCATATCCATATTATTTATAAAAACATTACTCAAGGGAACTCGATAAATGATACAAATTAACAAAGTAATGTTTCTTATTTTAACTTCTAAGAAAATATGTTCAATGTCATCACTGAGTATAAAATCCTCCAAAACCCTTTTAGCATGAAAATCATTTCTAACGTAAATGCCTACACCTCCTCCTCTCCTTAACCGACGATCATTTCTAAAAAAGGTACAGTTTTGAATACTTACTCTCTCAGATAACACCCCATCATTAAGCCATGTTTCAGTTACAGCAAACAAACTAAATTTATTTTGTGTTATTAAGCTGCAGAGATGCTCGAAGCCAGAGGATAAGGAACGTACATTTAAGTGACCAACTTTAAAATTTATTAAACTATTGTGATTCATAGTTAATTCGACTTTTATGTTGTTGAAGCTTTTGAATAAAAACATTACAATTACTATTTTTTTCACAATGATTCGTTAAGTAATTTATTTTATTTTTGATATATATTTTGCGTTCATAAAGGTACAATTCACACAACACTCAACTTCATTACTACATTCATCAGGTTCATGAGGCACTTAAAACATACAGTAGTTTTGCTACGGCACTCATTTTTCATGTTACCAAATTTGCAGCATTTAATGCATCGAATTATATTTTGATGTTCTTGAACATAGCATTTTTGCCATCCAGAATATAAGTATTTATTTTTTATTATATTTTTAAACAGAGCAGGTTTGACTTCCACAATAACATCCAATACATTTTCTTTGCGGCTTAGCTTGGTAACATATTTGATATAATAATAGTAAAATATACCATAAACTACGTATAAAGGTATATTAGTATACCTATACTTAACACGTTAACTGCCATGTGTATATGAAAGGAAGATGCATAACATGGGTTTTATATGTTAGAATGATTGTCCTGGAGTTGATGTACACCGGTAGAGACTTAGCCGACATTTTTTGTTTAACATTTTTAAGATGACAAACTCTTCATTCAAAAGTATGTTTGTCAAAAATCGAGCCAAAAATTAAGTTTTAGCGTAATAAAAATGTCGATAAGAAAAATGATTAAAAGATTTTATTTCCATTGAGTCAATGAAAAAATAACAATAAATTAACAAAATAATGCTTTACAAAAAATGGTAATAATAACAAATATTTATTTCTTCTATGTTATGCTGTAGGTTGCACTGGGGTAGAAAGGGGCAAAATAATTAAAAAAATTGAGCTAATGTATTATAGAAATTGTGGAATATTTTTATTGAGAATTAAAAGCTAAAAACATGGTGGCTCAGCGGACCTTACTTGTAAAAAACTCATGGCAGTTAACGTGTTAAGTACCTAATTAGTAATTAGTATTAAATACTAAGTAAAAAACACAATCCAAAATATTTTTTATAGTTATTTGTCAAATTAAAACAATATTCGATAACAAAAATACTTTTACTATAGGTATTTTATTTTATGTTAAAAATAAATATTTATTAATTTGTATACCGATTTTTTATTTCTGAATTAACATTTTTATGTATAATAATCCTAACTATCTTCAACTTCAATCTAATCTGAATTATTCCACAAAATTTTCCAATTTTACTTCTTATGAAATAATGTCATAGAACTTATGGTTTAGAGGTCAAATTCTTTATTTATTATTTTTAAATAAATATATATTAATATGTCGCAAAAATTTTTAAGGGGACGACAAATCTAATTGCATCATTAAAAGGGTATCTATTGAATGTTTCAAAAGTCCCTAAGAACATTCTTATCAATAAGGGAAGGTTCTAAGAATATTCCATTATTCTGGGTCATATCTCCTTAGAAGATTCTTAAAATCAAATTTGCTATCAGGGATTGAGTGTCAAGGAAGCCTTATCAAGACCCGACAAAGAAAAATGAAGACAAGCCATGATGGACGAGATGCAATCATTTGAAGAAAATGATACCTGGGATTAAGTCGACATACCAAGCTGTGGAACTATTGTTGATTGCAAAAGGGTATTCAAAATCAAGTGTTGTGATTCAGAAACTGATCATGTTTACCGTGGAAGGTTAGTGGCAAAGGGATTTACACAGAAACCAGGACTAGATTATGACGAAACTTTTTCACCCTTGGTAAGACACAGTGCTTTTTGCATTTTCGGTGAAATTTAATTTAAAAGTTTTTCACTTGGATGTTAAATAGATGTTTATTACAAGGCAGCAAAATATGTGATGTTATGAAATCTTGAACCTGACTCTTTCAAAAGATGTATGGCATCGTAGATTGGCACATTTAAATTTTCAAGATTTGACAGCTATGAAAAATCACAGTGATAGAACGGGAAGGGATTTCAGACGTGCTTTCCTCTGGA